CAAAAAGTTACGTGACTTGTGCGAGGTCACATAACGAGTCTCTGTTACAGTCCAGAATGGAATCGTCCTGGCCCCTAACCCAATGCTCAATTCATTGGACCACAGCTGGCCACTGTACCTGTTCTCAATAGACTTCCATGTCCAGGCCTGTCCATCCAGCATAGTTATTCAGCACTAAATTCACATACAGAATTTTAGATGGATGCTGTTAACTTACAGATCCCATGTTGTCTGAAAAGCTGCCAGCTGCTGTTGACTGTCAGATACCAATGCTATGGCAAGGCACAGTGGCATTAGATTCTTATCTATTGTGCTCCTTTGCCCATGTGCACAGGGATACATCATTCAGCAAATCTGTGGTCAGAAGGAATTTTCCCTCCAGCACATATTGGCACGGACCTTGTGGTTTTCACTTTCCTGTGGAGTAGGGATTATCCATTAGGCTCAGGGGAGAGTACTCAATTCTGGCAATTTTCCACAATCACTGAGAGCAGTGGGGAGCCCTTTTGAAAGACCTTGAACATCCTGCTTGTTTTCTGTGCCAGTGTTTCTATATATTGCTGGGTCAGCTCAGTTCTGTAGTATTTTTACTTCTTTACATATTGCCCTTGGTCATCCTATCTGGCAAATTTCTCATACTTAAAAGCTTAAATAACCCCATGAAGTTGCAGCCCTGGAAACTGGAGTAAAAAAATAATTGATTGCTGGTGATGAATGTATTTGCATTTAGACTAAGAAACAACCACAAGATGGGCATAAGATATTAATGTTCTTTTTTATTTTGCACTTGTTTGTTACAAAGCATAATTTTGTTCCTTAGGGAGAACTGTATTTTAAAGGACAGATTCCACCCTCCGATGTTTTTTGACCAGAAGCCATGCCATGTCTTGGAGGGTGTAATCATCTTCAGCTGGTTTAAATCATCTTAACTGTGAATTATGTCACATGAGGATGTGGTCCAACATTTTCAATTTAATTTTGTTTTAGAGGTATGAAAAATTCAGAAAGTTTCTTCCAATTATTATATTACATTTGTTGCTGCAAGCAGAGGGAATGTTGTCTAATGGTTAGGACAGGGAGCTGGGAATCAAGCCATTCCCAACTGTGTCATTCACTAGGTGTATGACCGTGGACAAGCCCACCTTCACTTCAAATTACACATTTAGAAAACGGGTTAACAATTATACTTTCTGGCATGAGAGTGGATTTTTTAAAACAAATGTTCAAGTCCTTGAATGCATTGCATAAGTATTATTACATATTCTGTGAATGATTTTTCTTTTGCTATCCTGACAGGTCATAGTACACTATACACTCTTTACACCATATGTCATCCCATTGCACCCCTTCTGGACAAACATGACATTTGCAGGTGCTTCCTGCCTCATTTCCCTTCTCCAAGGTGCGTCCCTTTGGCCTTTCTCACATGGAAAGGTGTTCATGATGTAGTTTGGACCCCCATCCAAGTTACTAAGCAAATTTAACCCCTTCCAGGGTAACAAAAGTCCAGCCAAATATCCAAAAGATTTTTCTGCCCCTCCTGGGCTTCCTTTAAATCTTTCCTTGTTCTGTCACAGAGTGCTGACTCCTATGCTGCTTTCCCTGAAGTTCCTCTTGCAATCTATCACTCATTGGTGTTCCCTGTATCCTGCATACCCTACCTCAGGACCTTCCACATGAGCCTAACCTGCTTCCTGTAGGTTGTCTCCATGAATTTTCTCTGCCCTTTTTTATAAGGCCCATGTGTTCATCAGGCTGTCATCTGACCCCATTAGTCCCACCCAGGAGGCTACAGAGGGTTGCCAGATTTTTCAACAACCACAAGCTGAAATGGGTATAAAAAAAAATCCAAAACAAGCACCCAAACAACTCTTACAAATGTAAGTTCAAAGTTGCTTCTTTTTCGATAACTTGGCAATGAAACGATGGCATGCTGGAAGTGAAACCTAACCAGAGAAAGGGTTGCAACACAGTTACCATATGTCTCTGCTGAGAGCTAGCCTGGTGCTTCTCCTATATGTCATGTAGACTGGAGTGATCATCACCCTTCCTCCGCTGGCTGTGATGGATCAGCACATCTATGCATCTTACTTTTACATAGTTTGCCAGCAGTTTGAGTCCTGCAAAGTGAATGAACAGTTGTACACACAAAGCATTTGTGAAGTGCAAACATCTCAGTCAGCTGTCATGACAGTACCTCACTGCCTCAAAGTAAAGGACATCTTAATAACCAAACTATGCAGGCTGTGTTCAGGATTGAGGGTCAGTAATGGAGTTGGGCAAACATTGTGACAATATTTCTGTGAATATTCATTCAATTTTTTTAACAAATTCACCCAGACAATGTTTGTGTCTTGTTTGCTTTCACTTTCCACAAATATTCATATTTATTTTGGCAGGAGTTTTCACTGAATCAGTAACTTTTAAGTGAATAGTGAAGAATACTAATGAAAAGTGAATACTGAATTCACAATTTAAATATCTGCACAAGAAACCAGTGTCAAAGAGTTCTGCTTTCTTGGGGTCTGATTCAAAGCCCACTGAAGTCAGTGGGTGTATGATATCAACAGAAAATGTAGATCAACCCCCATACTTAGGGAATGAAAAACCACCATTGTGGCTTCAAAATAGCTTGAATTTTTAATATCCAATACTCACAGTGAATTGCTCTTTAGCAAGATATGGACAAATAATTATTTGCAGACAGGAATAATTTTTAATAATAACTTTGAATAATCAATATATTTGAAAAAATCTCAATCTGTCTGTGACCAACTCAAAAACTGAAAAACGTAACATAAGTTGTCAATTATTTGCTCTGAATTATTTGCCCAGCTCTAGTCCCTGTAAGTTTGGGCAGCAATTATATGTTTTCTTTTTCATATTAAATTGCATATTACAATCTGCTTCTTTCTCCATTAGTCTGGATTTGAGGATTCAGTTGGACTAGAAATGCAGGCACAGCAGAAATTACAGCTAATGGGTCAGATTCTCACCTGATATACATCTGTATAGATCCATTGAAACCAGTGGAGCTATGCTAATTTATACCAGGTGAGTATCTAGCCCCCTGACTCTTTTTTCTCTCCTGCCAACATGTGAGCTCAGGCCTTTGTGTTTCTTCGGCTATACTTGATGGCATCCCTTACACCTGAAATAGGGTGTAGGCAATAAGCTCAGTTCTGTGTGGTCCTGGGAGTTTCCTACCAGGATGCTGAGTGCTTTCTCCGAAGCTGATGCTTTGCGGGTTCAGACCCAAAATACTTTAGACGCTTGTGTTTTTATCATCTGTTTCAGGGAAAATGCAAAAAATGCTGCATTCACATTTTGATAGGTAAGTAAAAGAGGATCTGAATTTCGTATTTTGATAAGACCATTTCAAAATGTAAAACCAAGGACCTAATGGGGACTGATTCTCTGTGGCCTTTCACCTTGTGTAGTCATTTACGTCTGCGCAAGTTGACTGCAATTTGGGGGTAAACTGCTACCATCAGTGGTAGAGATTTACAACCAACATGACCAGATATAAATGACTACACAAGGCAGTGGAGAATCAGACCCATAGTCTTTAAAGACACAGTATACTAGGGAACACTATGAAGGTTTTGCAAGAGGTTTATTATTCCTAGCTTCTGAGTTAATTACCAGTTTAGGATCTGATTCACCACAGCAGTAACACCAGAATAAAACCGAAAAAATACACTGACAAATCAAGGCCTGGGTAAATTACCTTCTGCCTTATTAAATTCTCATTGCAGTTCCATTTCCATATGATATTCTTCACTTCCTGTCTTAAAATGACACCAGAAACACTACCTTTTAAGGTCCAATCCTACAAGGTAGCTAATGCTTCCTGTGAGAATCTGAGCAGCTTTGATTCTCATTGACTTCAATGGAATCTCGACACCTTGTGGGGATCCACTCAGCACCTCACAGGACTGGGCCTTTTTGCTTACATTCAGCAAAGCATTTAGGCAAGTGCATACTTAAGCTATATTAGTTTGCAATGCTGGGTAAAATTTCTAAATGTGCCTAGGAGACTTAGGCTTTTAAGTCCCATTTTCAAAAATGTCTTAGGTACTTGGCAGCCAAAGACTCTTGAAACTCCATGGGACTTAGTACCTAAGTCACTTTTGAAAATGGGACATAGGGTCCTAAGTCACTTAGGCAGGTTTTGAAAATGTCACCTTCTGTGAAGTGCTTCGAGGCTTGTGCAAGGGTCTTTTATAAAATTAGTAAATGTGAATCACAATAATAGAAATATTAATGTTTCTTCCCTAATGTCTAGTTAGGTCAATGGCAAAACTCCCATTGACTTAGTGGAAGCAGGATTGTGGTTGTACAGTAAATGTCAAGGATATTCTCCTTTATGTTAAGTTTTTGATGATTTTTTTAACATATGTTTAAAAACAGAGAAAATGTTAACCTTGAGCTTCATGAGCCAGTGAATAGACATGCTTCATTCAATAGTTATGTTCATCTACTGTAGCTAGATCTGTATCTGTTTCTGTAGCTGAATTGTGATTCTCTTTCTAAAATCATTCTAATGCTTTTAAAAAAGAGATTTTCAGTTTGTAAGCTAATGGCAAGCGCATGATGAGACACATCTAGTAAGCTTTTGAATGACAATGAATAGTACTATTACTTCGGACTGAATTTGTTTATCTGGAATTATTTGTAACATTTGAAAGCAGCTGCCATTTGTGTATCAAACATTTTTCAAATAGGTGACTGGATGGCTTGAGGAGATGAAAAGCCCTGGGTCTTATCACTTTTACCTGTTCAAATCCAACTTCGGTTTGTACTGACTAGAGATTACCTAGACTTTAAACTTTTAGGAGTAAGAACTGTCTTTTTTTTATGTAATTTGCACAGTGCCACAATGCAGTCCTAGTCCATGACTGAGTCCTCTAGACACTAGCACCATTTAAATAATCATGATAAAAAGTAAAAGAGAAGGTGATAAATTGGGATTGGGATCCCAATTTGGATTGGTTTTGGTTAAGGCTAGGGCTCTAGGCCACATCAGAGCTACCATTTTGGGTAATTTGCTCTGCTACTGCCTGTGTTGTGCTTTTTCTGTGAATGGTTAGAGGTCATCATAATGCATTTGCAGGCTCCCATAAAAGATTTCATTCACAATATGCTTTCTTCTAATGGGTTATGCACTGACTAAAAAGATTGAATACAGTAATTGGCCTTAGCTTTGGTCCTGGCTTTATCATCTTAAAGCTCTACCTTGCATAGGGCATTATAAAAGAGGCTTTAGTGAAACTGAGATTTGGGGCCAGTGTTTCTAGTCACCCTTCCTAAACATATTCTAAACACCTTTAAACATACATATATTTTCCCCCTTGCTATCAGACACCAAACAGAGAAGCTGTCCTGTTACTGTTGAATTTGCTGTCCTTGACTGTAAACTTACCTCCATTGACATCAGTTTCTCTTACAGCATTAATCAGCAGTTTGGGAAAAAAAAATCCTGAAATATATTCAAATAAACAAACAAGTAATGGTTAATGCTAAGAGGTGTGTTGTTTACACAAAAATCAGATGTACAGTCATTCAGTGGAATTTAAATACATGAGACAAGGGCAGCCCCTGACCCTACCTCTAGAAGTGATGTTATTGTGTACAACTGCAAACAATGCAAAATGACTGTATTTTTCAATGAGTGTCATAAATGTATCTGTTTCACCTTCACCAATTTTTACGTATAAGTGAAACCTCACAATGATTGCTTACCTGAGCCAGCAAAAGCAAAAAGATGATTATCAAATGACAACAGCACTGCAGCATCTAGTGCATTATTAATCATTTGTATTACAGTAGCACCTTGAGATTGTTTGGTGTTGTATATATACATATACAAGAGATGTTGGTAGGAAAGATCCCACAGGAAGCAAGTCTAAAGGGAAAAACAGTTCAAGAGAGTTGGCAGTTTTTCAAAGAGACATTATTAAGGGCACAAGAGCAAATTATCCCCCCATGTAGGAAAGATAGGAAGTATGGCAAGAGACCACCCTGGCTTAACCAGGAGATCTTCAATTATTTAACACTCTAGAAAGAGTCCTATACAAAGTAGAAACTCGGTCAAATTACAAAGGTTGAATATAAACAAATAACACAAGTATGTAGGTGTAAGCGGGGGAGTGGTCCCGCTATTGTGGGGAAATTTCCTGACTTCTGCACTACCCCGGTGAGGTGGGCTAGCGAAAGGATCTGAGTCCCCGCTCCCACTTCCTTTACCCAGAGGCCTCCCTGCCCTTGAGGACTCCCCTTCCACTCTCCTGTCTGGCAGTGTCCTCGTAAACCCCGACAAGGCTGGGCCCAGGATTCCTGGGGGGCTCGACCCCCAACCCTGCTGTGGTCACCCAGGACAGGGGCTAGGGTTTCCCCACTCCGGGGTACTCTCTCTGT